CCCCTCCCGGAGCCTCCAGTAAGGTACTGAGAGGGTTCAGAGAGAGGCAGAACCAGATTGGACTCGGACAATCGCCCTGGAAGATACCCCTTCTTATCCTTATGTGGTTCTCCGCAGCCATCATCCGCTCGCCCAGATGACAAAGGATCTTACTCCACTGCCCCATACACTGCTCGAGGAAGTCTCTAACTGTACAGTCTATCTTGTACAGCTCGAGGACTCTCTTTAGCCATGTATGGGGCACCGAGTCGAATGCCTTTCTGTAGTCTATCCAGGCGGCGGAGAAGTTCCGACGTTTGCGTTTCACCACTTTGCCAATGACCGCGTCAATGAGGAGTGGTTCCTTGGTTCCACGACCACCGCCCCGACATCCATTTTGAGCGCGCGACATCACCTGATTTGAGTCCAGGTGACGAGTGATTCTCGCGATCAAAGTGGATGTTAGTGTCTTGTATATGGTCGGTAGATACGTGATGGGACGGTATTGAGATGGCTGGGGTCTGTGGTACCCTGGTCCTTAGAAAACAAATGACTGATACCAGTAGTGGAGAGCCTTGGGAGCGACTTCTGTTTGAGAGCCTCTTGAAACTGTCGGGCGAGCACAGTGTGACACACCACGATCCCCTTCAGCCAGTAGTGATGCAGCCCGTCGTGCCCCGGACTTTTCCAGTTCGGGGCCCTACGGACCGCCTCAGCTACGTCATCCGGCGTTATGATGACGGGGTCCATGGGCGTAATACCCGCACACTGACTCGCCACAACTTCCGTCCAAGGGCCCTCGCTGTGGTTTACGGGCTCTGACCACAGGCCGCGCTGGAATGCTACAGTGTCGGCTTGATTCCGTGATGGGCCCGTTCCACTTACCATTGGTCGCTCCAATGATTCATAGAGCCTCTTCTGATCACTCTGGAAGAGACGATTCTGGTTGAACCGTGTCGACCTCTCGGTATATCGCCGAATCCGCTTTCCCCAAGCAGCGATTCTCTGCTTCAGATCATCTATGCGCTCCGTCAGTTTTTGCGTTATATCTGGCTGGGACAAACTGACATTTGTCCCAGCAAACGCCATCCTGACGGTGCGCACAATTCTAGGCCTGTTGTTGCCTGATCTGAAGCATATCAGTCTGCCGATGAGAGCTCTAGCCTTTGCGATACGTTCCTCAATTCTTCTTCTCCATGCTGGGATAGCGTTACTTTGGCCAGTAGCCCGTCCAGCCGTGGAAACCTTGGCGCCTATGATACGGCAGACTGCCAGCGCGGCGCCAAAAAGACTTGAGTCCGTTTCGCAAAGGTCCCGGCTGGCTTCCAAATAGGTAACCAGCATTGGGTTCAGAGCCCTCACGACAGCCCGATTCCGCTTGCTTAGGGCTATGCGGGGAAGTCGCGGTCGATTTTCGAGAGGCGTACTGCGCGTTTCCACAATCGCCTCTTCGAATATACTCCTCATATGCTCTAATTCCAGTTCCTGGGCGACTGTTCCATCATCGTTTGAATCAACCACAACTGGGGTATTCACGGCGGCATCCACGTTTGCGGGTTGCTCTACCATTTGTGGCGCCGCATCCTCAGCCGTAGCATTCTCATCCGACGAGGGAACAGCCTCACGTCGTAGCCGTTCGAGTTCGGCGACATCAAATATATTTGAGCGCAAGATATACCGAACTCGGTCTGCAGGTTTTCTCTGTGACGGTTAAAGATGGTCCAGCTCAGCAAAAAAGACGATGCATCCTAGCCCGATACGCCAAACATCCAGTTTCTTCCCCTTTTGCCCTAAAGTACGCCCGCAGTGCGTTTGCGTTCATTTCTTGTGACCAACGCACTTCGTGCGACGTGCTCCACCAGCGGCGGGTGCCTCTTGCTGAGTCCGAGAAGACCCAGCCGACACCAAGCCTTCTGGTGGGGACGATGGATGCGGAGGGCTGGTAGATGACCGTGCAGCTCCTCGCGCTCGGCTGGCGGCCCGCATGCTGCCGCGTCCAGCGCCAGCTCCAGACGCGCCCCGGCGACCCCCAGGCAGGCCCTTTGCGCATTCTTTTTATCCATCATCAATTATTTGGGCGTCCATTAACGGGAGACGCCCAGGCCCGGCACCGTGTCGTGTGTGGCCATAAGCACAAACGGGCCTCTGCACCCTAAATTCTGCCGAGGCACGGCGCTCACACCTCTCGCAAGGCGCTGACTGACTGCGTTGACGTAGCAGTTTTGTCACTTAACTGTTACGTCAGCGGGCGATGGGGTCGTCAATTCCCTACGCCTATTTTTACCTTTTATTATTATGTGTGGGGTATCTATAGAGTTTTCTCATCTGGTTGGGATGTATAAATATATAATTATAAACGTGAAAAGATAAACATACAAAAATATCAATAAAATAAAATAAATATGAAAATACATAAATAAATAAAAGCCCAACCAGATGGAAGCCCTCGGCAGGGGAGACCAAACGGCCGAGGGTTAGGGGGAAAGGGAAAGAAACCGGCGGACGATGCGGGCGGTATCGAGGAGCACCGCCTTCTGCATTTGAGCCTGGAGCGGTCCGCCACGTAGTCCCAGCCGCCTCAGATTGCCCGAGAGGCTGGCTGGGATTAGCCAGTTTGCAGACACGACTACAGGAATAATTTCGGTCGGCAGACCACCCCACATGTCGGTCACCTCGTGAGCCAGGTCCAGATATTTTGTCTGCTTGTCTGTTTCGGCTTTCACGAGGTTCTCGTCACACGGAATGGTAATGTCGACCAAAAATATCCTTGACTGTGCCCGGTCCATCAGCACAATATCAGGCTTATTCGCAAGAATAGTCCTGTCTGTGATGATGGCCCGGTCCCAGTAGAGCCTGGCGCGGTCATTTTCGAGCACGGCTTCCGGCAAGTACTTGTAATACGCCAACTTCCGATCCACGAAACCGTATTTCAGAGCGAGCTCCTGGTGTAGAATTCTGGCTACTAGGTTGTGCCTGTGCAAGTACTCAGAGTTAGAAAGCGCCGAACAACCGGAGATGACATGCCTAAGTGACTCACCGGGACGGCGACAAGCTCGACAGATGTCGATGGTGCCATCCTTTAGGATGTATCTCCGATAGTTGTTGGTCTTAATAACCTGATCCTGTATTGCACAGACAAAACCCTCGGTTTCCCCGAAGAGGTCACCAAAGCGTAGCCAGTGGAGAGAGGTTACTGTGTCCACGAAAGGCCCATGTAGAGACTTGTGGTACCTCCCGTGGAGCTCCTTCACCTTCCATACGGTCTCCCGGTCGGAAATTGTCTGCACTGCCGGGTCCTGCCATTGCTCGTTGGCTAAGGATAGAGGGGTAAGCCCTTTATCACAAGAAATGACGTCCTTATAGAATGGATCATCCGATCTCGCCAGGCCATTTATTATTATTATTATTATTATGGGATATCTATATAGTTTTCTCATCTGGTTGGGTTCTATAAATATATAATTATAAATGAAAATGAAAAAATAAATATACATAAATATCAATAACATAATAAGTATAATAAAAGCCCCAGATGGAGGCCCTCGGCAGGGGAGACCAAAGCCGAGGGTTAGGGGAAAGGGAAAGAAGAAGTTTTTTATTTGGGGTATCTATATAGTTTATTATATTTATTATTATTGTGGGGTATCTATATAGTTTTCTCATCTGGTTGGGTTCTATAAATATATAATTATAAATGAGAATGAAAAGATAAATATACATATATATCAATAACATAAAATAAATATAAAAATACTTAAATAAATAAAAGCCCAGCCAGATGGAGGCCCTCGGCAGGGGAGACCAAACGGCCGAGGGTTAGGGGGAAAGGGAAAGAAACCGGCGGACGATGCGGGCGGTATCGAGGAGCACCGCCTTCTGAATTTGAGCCCGGAGCGGTCCGCCACGTAGTCCCAGTCGCCTCAGATGACCCGAGAGGCTGACTGGGATTAGCCCGTTTGCAGAGACGACTACAGGAATAATTTCGGTCGGCAGACCACCCCACATGTCGGTCACCTCGTGAGCCAGGTCCAGATATTTTGTTTGCTTGTCTGTTTCGGCTTTCACGAGGTTCTCGTCATACGGAATGGTAATGTCGACCAAAAATATCCTTGACTGTGCCCGGTCCATCAGCACAATATCAGGCTTATTCGCAAGAATAGTCCTGTCTGTGATGATGGCCCGGTCCCAGTAGAGCCTGGCGCGGTCATTTTCGAGCACGGCTTCCGGCAAGTACTTGTAATACGGCAATTTCCGGTCCACGAGACCGTATTTCAGAGCGAGCTCCTGGTGTAGAATTCTGGCTACTAGGTTGTGCCTGTGCAAGTACTCAGAGTTAGAAAGCGCCGAACAACCGGAGATGACATGCCTAAGTGATTCACCGGGATGGCGACAAGCTCGACAGATGTCGACGGTGCCATCCTTTAGGATGTATCTCCGATAGTTGTTGGTCTTAATAACCTGATCCTGTATTGCACAGACAAAACCCTCGGTTTCCCCGAAGAGATCACCGAAACGTAGCCAGTTGAGGGAGGCGACTGTGTCTACGAAGGGCTCATGAAGAGCCCTGTAGTACCTCCCGTGGAGCTCCTTCTCCTTCCATACGGTCTCCCGGTCGGAAATGCTAAGCACTGCTGGGTCCTGCCATTGCTCGTGGGCTAAGGATAGAGGGGTAAGCCCTTTATCACTAGAAATGACGTCATTATAGAATGGATCATCCGATCTCGCCAGGAAGTAATTACGGAGGCTGCACACTTCGCGATTATGCATGGTGAGCGCGCTCATAAAACCACGCCCACCATGCTTTCGCGGCAAGTACAGCCTCATTACCGACGATCTCGGATGATGCATCCTGTGGGACGTCATGGTAGTGCGGACTTTTCTATCCAGGGCGTTAAGTTCAGTCTGAGTCCACCTGAGTATGCCAAAGGTATATATGAGGACAGGCATGACCCAGCCGTTATATGCGTGTGTCTTATTCACACCGGACAAAAGGCTGTTAAGCACTTTGGTCAAGCGTGCATAAAACACGTCGCAAACTGACTGTTTCACACCAGCCTCATCGATACCGATGTTCTGTGACATACCCAGGTATCGGTATGTTTCAGCCTCGGAAAGGGTCCTTAAGTTGACGGGCATAGATAAGTCTATGCCCTCAGAGTTAGCAACCCTTCCCCTTTCAACATGGAGGACCGCACACTTATCCGTCCCCAGCTCCATTCCAATGGAATTGCTAAATTCACAAGTGATGTTTAGCAATTCCATAAGATGGGAGCGGCTGGAGGCGAATAACTTGAGGTCATCCATATAGAAAAGGTGGGTCACTTTTGTTCCTCCTTTCCGAAGCTGAAATCCTCTACCGGAGCCCTCCAGTAAGGTACTGAGAGGGTTCAGAGAGAGGCAGAACCAGATTGGACTCAGACAGTCGCCCTGGAAGATACCCCTTCTTATCCTTATGTGGTTCTCCGCAGCCATCATCCGCTCGCCCTGATAGCAGAGGATCGTACTCCACTGCCCCATACACTGCTCGAGGAAGTCTCTAACTGTACAGTCAATCTTGTACAGCTCGAGGACCCTCTTTAGCCATGCATGGGGCACCGAGTCGAATGCCTTTCTGTAGTCTATCCAGGCGGCGGAGAAATTCCGACGGTTGCGTTTTACCACTTTGCCAATGACCGCGTCAATGAGGAGTGGTTCCTTGGTTCCACGACCACCGCCCCGACATCCATTTTGAGCGCGTGACATCACCTTATTTAGCTCCAGGTGACGAGTGATTCTCGCGCTCAAAATGGATGTCAGTGTCTTATATATAGTGGGTAGACACGTGATGGGGCGGTATTTGCTCGGGTCTGTGGTATCCTGATCTTTAGGAACCAAGTGAGTGATCCCAGTAGTGAAGAGGCTCGGGAGCGACTTCTGATCGAGAGCCTCTTGATACTGTCGGGCGAGCACAGCGTGACACACTACGAACCCCTTCAGCCAGTAATGATGCAGCCCGTCGAGCCCCGGACTTTTCCAGTTCGGGGCCCTACGGACCGCCTCAGCCACGTCTTCAGGCGTTATGGTGACGGGGTCCATAGGCGTAACACTTGCACTCTGGCTCGCCACAACTTCCATCCAAGGGCCCTCGCTGTGGTTTACGGGCTCTGACCACAGGCCACGCCAAAATGCGACAGTGTCAGCCTGATCCGGTCCTGGGCCCGCTCCACATACCTCTGGTCGCTCCAATGATTTATAGAGCCTCTTCTGATCACTCTGGAAGAGACGATTCTGGTTGAACCGCCTTGACCTCTCGCTAAATCGTCGAATCCGCTTCCCCCAAGCAGCGATTTTTTGCTTCAGGTCATCTATGCGCTCCGTTAGTTTCTGCGTGATATCCGGCTGGGACAAACTGATATTTGTTCAAGCAAACGCCATTCCTAACGGTGCGCACAACTCTCGGTCTATTATTACCCGACCTGAAGCTTGTCAGTCTGCCGATAAGGGCCCTTGCCTTTGCGATACGGTCCTCGATTCTTTTTCTCCAGGCTGGGATGGCGCTACCTTGTTGAGTAGCACGTCCAGCCATGGGAAGTTTGGCGCCAATAATACGGCATACTGCCAGTGCGGCGCCAAAAAGAATTGAATCCGTCTCGCAAAGGTCCCGGCTGGCTTCCAAATAGGTCACCAGCATTGGGTTAAGAGCCCGCACGACAGCCCGATTTCGCTTGCTAAGGGGTATGCGGGGGAAGTCGCGGTCGATTTTCGAGAGGCAGGCTGCGCGTTTCCAGCATCGACTCTTCCAATATGCTCCTCATTTTCTCTAGTTCGTGGGGGACTATTCCATCATCGTCTGAATCAACTACAAATGGAATGTTGACGGCAGCGTCCACATTTGCAGTTTGCTGCGCAATTAGTGGCGCCGCATTCCCAGCCGTAGCATTTCCATTCGATGAGGGAACAGCCTCACGTCGTAGTCATTCGAGTTCGGCGTCACCAAATATGTTGGAGCGCAGGGTGTACCGAACTCGGTCTGCCAGGTTTTGCTCAGTGACGGATAGAGATGGCTCCAGCTCTGCAAAAAAAGCGATGCATCCGAGCCCGATATGCCAAACATCCGGTTTCTTCCCCTTTTGCCCTAAAGTACGCCCGCAGTGCGTTTGCGTTCATTGTTTTTGACCAACGCATGCGACGTGCTCCACCAGCGGCGGGTGCCGCTTGCTGAGTCCGAGAAGACCCAGCCGACACCAAGCCTTCTGGTGGGGATGATGGATGCGGAGGGCTGCTAGGTGGTCGTACAGCTCCTCGCGCTCGGCTGGCGGCCCGCATGCTGTCGCGTCCAGCGCCAGCTCCAGACGCGCCCCGGCGACCCCCAGGCAGCGGCCCTATGCGCGTTCCTCTTTGTACCATCATCCATTTATGGGCGCCAAATAACGGGAGACGCCCAAGCCCGGCACCGTTTCGTGGTTCGGTCTTATGCACAAACGGACCTTTGCACCCACAATTTTGCCTAGGCACGGCGCTCACACCTCTTGGCAGGGCGCTGACTGACTGCGCCGACGTAGTAGTTTTGTCACATAACTGTTACGTCAGCGGGCGATGGGGTCGTCACTTCCCTACGCCTAATTATTATTATTATTATTATTATTATTATTATTATTACACACATTTGAGATAGTATCTAGTATATGGGATATCATTTTTATAATTAAAAGTAAGTTTTTAAATAATCTTACAGCGAGCAAACATAAGTCATTTAAACAATCTACAAATGAACAAAACTTAATAAAATAAAATAATGATTGACTAATTTTACATTGATCTTCAAATCAAAACAAATAAATTACACAGTAAAAGCTAGACCAATTCAGATCATCCATCGTCTTCTGGACTAAATGGGTAAGTAAGCCACGTTGTCCAATCGGAAACAATCGGCAACACATCAGATGCAGTGGTAGATGGAACTTCATTTTGCAGTGGAACAAGATTTCTTGTATTAAATTACGATTCACACAATATTACGTAAGAATGGGTTACACTCCCTCCTCCGCAAAGAAAAGGGCATGTATAGGTTTTCTTAACCCCCACCCCCCTCCTCAATCTCGTGAACCTTACGTAATTAATGAATGGCTTCAAGTTGGTTGTAGGTGACCATGGGCTGCAGCTACTTACCACCAGATGAACTGCAAGTTGTATATATAACCAGTAAAAGTTCTCCAGTACTCTACACTCACCATACGGAAAACAGCACTACTATACTAGCGTTTTTTGCTAATATGCTGTGACAGCGTGGTTATTTCTCGGAAGAGCCGACCTATTCATGTTATACCTTACTACGCTTTGACGTGATTTTACGTTTGAAAAGTAGTGAAGGAATACGAAACCATTTTAAGGTTTTAGTGGTCAGTCGTTTAGAGGCGAAACCTGTGTTGTATTGTCGACAAGGGTGTGTCTTTTCTAATGTAGTGGCGTTGGGATTAGTTGTGGCGTGGATAGGACACGCGATTGATACAGGGCGGAAGATGCTCTTTAAACTAGGTGAGATACACTACTTTATTCAATTATGTGAAACTTAGCTAATCAAAATTTAACCTCTTTAGTATAAGATATTTCCGATAAAATAATGCCTTAGTTAACATTCTAAGGACTCATACCATCTTTTTCTATCAAATGAACCTCTTTTTGAAACTGTATTAATAGATTGATAAACAATGACGTTTGCAAACCAAATGTTATTTTCGTACGTTTTAAAATTTAATCTCATAAGTTTTTGTTGCTAGCTGTATTACGACACCCTCACTCCTTGTGACCTGCACACGCACTTCATTATATTATAATACGATTGGACATCCCCCAACACCACAAACGTTTACATTCAAAGCGTTTTTTTTTTGCGAGCATTACCAAATATTTTCTTTTCCACTTTTGTTTATGCGTCTGTCACGCGGGGGGATATTATTTGGAGGGTGGAGGGTGGTGTTGGTGGATTGTTTGCACTGTGCAACTTGATACAGTTCGTTCAACGTTTTACTTATTTTCAATCTGCTGTAGACAGACCGGAGAACTAACTTTCAATATAAAGTAAGAGCTAACTTCAAGGAACTAAAAAGTATAAAATAATTTCTACACAAGAGCTTCTAAAGTCGGCACTAGGGCATGGTGTATAGTGGAGTTAGAGCCCAGACATCAGAGGCTATTATGTGAAAATTATTTTATAACTTTTAGTTATTTGCATTCGGCTTGTAATTTTTATTAAAAGTGTAATTTTCTGATCTTTTTGAGTGAACTACGTAATTTCACAAGCTCAAGTCAGCAACTAGAATGTCATATACATTAAACATTATAGACTTCATCCCCTATTTGTACCCTCGTGGTTGGAATTATTTCTAAATTTATATGGCAATCCCTTATATATAAATAAATCTTGTATATAAATTTAGCTCATTACCTACAAACACCACATACTTCTGAATTAATTTTATTACATTTATTTAATTAATCTTGTTAAATTTATTGAATTAATTTTGTTAAACTTATTGAATGAATTTTGTTAAATTTATTGAATTAATTTTGTTAAATTTATTGAATTAATTTTGTTAAATTTATTGAATTAATTTTATTAATTTCAGTTCACAGCTTACAATTAAATCACGTGTACCTACAAAACAACATACAACTGTCAACCCACTCCCTATTTGGAAGTTGGACAGTAAGAAAGTAAATTCTGATCTTTCTGATCTGATTCTGATCTGATTCTGATCCGCGCCGGCTTCGCACCAACAGAGTGCAACTACAGATAAAACCATCCACGTGGCCCCATGAGTACCCCATAAGATATACTTGGTAGAGCCACGCTGCAGCTATACTATGGTAGAAGCAGGAATGCGACACATTCTTCTCTCCCCCACTCGTACCGTCAAACTCTCACAGCAGCTTGATTCTGCTGTATTTCGTACGGTGAGTGTTTTTGCACTTAAGGTTATGAAGCATTCCATTTTCGCACTCAGAGGTAACAATGCATATGCATTTAGATTCTTAATCGTGGATCGATTGAGATGTGCATGGGCCACAGCATCCACTTACTGATTTATTTACTTATTCTAAAAAACATCATCAAAATCGGCCGTGCCGTTTAGTAGGAGAAGAATTACGAACACACGCACTTACGAATTATATAATATACTGGCGATGTGCCCCTTATTCGCATGGGTGATACCTAGATCTCATCAACAGCGCCCTCTACCGGGGCCACAAACTATACAAAAATATCAAAAATCGTCAAAATAGGTATAGCCGCTTTGGATGAGTTCAGTGACGAGCACATGTACAGAAGAATTACATATTATATAAAGATAAAACAATATTCACGCGATAATAAAGTTTGGAAAACATCAGTGAGTTTGTACAAACAATACGCGATTGGTTTCACACCTTTCGTACAGCCTAGTGTAGAACAGAGAGACTCACCGCCGCGCACTGTTCTCGTGTGCAGATACAATTTGAATACAACAAGTCATTGTGGGAGGCGCTACGCTGAAACTTTTTGTTATTTTATCAGCTACACAAAATTTCTGACGCGTATAAAAGTTCTTTGCGAGCTTTCTGACGGATTTTCAGTCTTATTGCTTTAATAGAAAGTATATAACATATTACAATGCTTTGTGCGAATAAAACAGTAATGTGTCTTTCATCTTCTAATTCATCTGTAAATAAACCCATAAATTATTATACCTTATTGTATATTATAACTTATTTATTTAGTAGACACACAAACACACACTCATATGTACACACACACACACACACACACACACACACATACACGCACACGCACACGCACACGCGCACGCACACGCGCACGCGCACATACACGCACGCACGCACGCACGCACGCACGCACGCGCACGCACGCACGCGCACGCACGCACGCGCACGCACGCACGCGCACGCACGCACGCGCACGCACGCACGCGCACGCACGCACGCGCACGCACGCACACACACACGCACGCACGTGCACGCACGCACGCGCACGCACGCACGCGCACGCACACACGCGCACGCACACACGCACGCATACACACACACACACAGCACACACGCACACACACGCACACACGTACGCACGCCCACACACACACACACACACACACACACACACACACACACACACACACACACACACACACACATACACATACACACACACAAACGCGCGCGCGCGCGCACACACACACACACACAACGCACGCGCGCGCACACACACGCACACACACACACACACACACACACACACACACACACACACACACACGCACGCACGCACACACGTACGCACGCACGCACACACGCACGCACAAACATTCAAACTGGCGACTTTTCTACTGAGTCGTAGTACTATTATTTATTCT